TAATGTAGTTCTAATCTGATTTGCCTTGCAGGTAATTCGCTGATAACCAAAAGAAATAACGTTTATAAGGAGAAGGGTTTATTTTAGTTAAATACCATAGGTTGCTTAAAGCCCACTTTTTCTTTGTTATTTATTCATTTAAATGTTTCAAACCAAGAGTAATAAATATATATGTGTATGTATCTTAGTATGAGTGAATTTTATTGTTAAATCCCGTTATAGTGGTCATTCTGAAGGCCAGTATCTTAGGAGTAAAGAATAGGGCAGGATAGGTTTAAAGATATACAGTCTACTCCTGCATCACCAGAAGACAACTATATGGGTTTCATTTGGACATTTTAAAATTTTCACAATAAGAATTTACGACAGGCTCCTTCCTTCTATATGACTATCCTGTTCCATAAATTTAATTCATGCTATAGATTGTGCTCTTTTCATAACTGTTGGGAAATTGATAATTTCCATGAAAGACTAATCTTTTTTAAAAACAATTTTTATTTTAAATACAATTCCGGGTTATGAATACAATGTTCATTATGCAGGTACTCTTGTTGACGAGGTGTGCGCCACCCCCAGCCCCCCGCCCTTGGCAGTTTCCCTTTCTTATAGGATTATGATAGTTGTTCAAGATCCACTTAGGACTGAGAACATGTGATACTCAGTTCTTTGTTTCTGTGGTAGATCACTCAGGATATAGCCTCTGAGGCCATCCGTGTTGCTCTGAAGTGAAAGACTAGTTCTTATCTAAACTCTTTGGATTGTGATACACTCATGGTTGAAATTCACAGGAGGTTTTTTTATGTACACACGGAGAAAACTGAAAACCCTTTATGTAATGAAAGTTATTGTTTAATCTAGAGATTCAAGTGGATATTATCTTATGTTTACCAAAACCACATATACAGAACCATATAGTACCAGACTCTTATATTAAAAGGAGGGAGGCCTGTTTATTTATTGTCAATGCAGTAGAGAAAAAAGTCACTTGAATTGAACCCTACCACCATTTTATTCCACTTGACAGTATCCTACCTTTGGCTTTGGCCTCTGAGAAGCGTTGATGAAAGTGGTGCGCATTTCTTGACCGACTTCTATTGGGCCTCCGTTTCACCTGTTTGCTCAAGGCGGAGAGCCAAGCAGTTGAGTCTGGATGCAGCGTATGACCCCTTGATGCGCCCTGCCTTCTGCCCTCCCCCAGACAACGGCTCAGTCCTCCAATATCATTTCTCAGTTTCTGATAATTCTCCATTGCTCTTCCTGTGTGGTTCTCCAGAACCAGTGTATGCTTCTGGACCCTGAAGCCCGTTTATTAGACCCTGCATTCTGGTTCTTCCTTCCCTAGTTGCCACAACCTGTTCTGTATAAGAACTGCAGGAGACCCCTGTGTTCTCATGGTCAGGTCACTCTAAGACCATTTGTATATGGCATAGGCTATTTGTTTTAAAGAATTGGCACTGATCTAGCATTTGGGCCAGTTTTCAAATACACAAAGTTTAATCTTTGTATCAGCCCTGTGAGAATAGTTACCACAGTTCCAGGTTTTCAGATGAGGGGACTGAGGCTCAGAGAGGCTACATAAGTTCCTCCAGTTGACACAGCTCATCAGGGCTGGAGCTGCCATTTGAGTTCAGTCTTCCCGCGTGGTGGACATCGTGGGTCTTACGCTTCCTCAGCCCACGGACGTGATATACTCTTTTCCTCATCTTCCACTGGATGAGATCTAACTAGACCTTTAAGGGACATAACGCTGTCTTTGCATATTATCTTGCAAAGCATGAGTTAGATGCTTGTTTTTGGCAGTCTTATGTAATTTAGGAACATTTGACTTCAGTGGGGTTGAACTGATGACGTGTATGACGTCTGGCATCTTTCTGTGCTACTTGTGTTGTCCTTTGCTAGGGTGGCTGTGACACCGTGAGGGGGGGCTGTCGGCTTTGGCATCCGTATCTGTGGCCCTGTCCTTGCAGTCAATCCTCCCCCATTTTGGCCTCGCTCGGTCACTTTCAGTCTGGGCTGACAGTGTTTCTGCTGGCATGGATGTCTCAGCATTTTTCTTAGTCTTGTGTGCAATTTTTGAGTGTCCCAGCCTTCACACACTGCGGTGTCAGACAGGTCTCTTCTGGACTACCACTTCACTGTTTCTGGCTTTGCAGAGTTGCCTGACAGCATTCATGAGTCCCATGGCCCGGCCATTCCATACAAGTTAGTCCAGCAGGACCGGTTGATGCTCTCCACATACACTCCTGCTTGAGCATGACTTCCCTCCTTTTGGCTCTCTGTGGGTCATGTCGCTTATTTGAAATCTGGCAGCAAAAAGTACACGAGTTGGATTTCAGAGCATCATCTGATCACGTAAGATGTATGTCAGTCCTGCTTTTTTCCCTCGAAAATATTTTCCTCAGAAATATCGCTCTCTACCTCATGGCCCATCCCTTAGGGATGTTACAGTTGTAATCGTGCTCACATCTGAATTAGCTTATTAAAGTGTGGAAGAATCATCATTATTGCTCACTATTTTATTTTATGCATGAGGCAACATTAATAACACTTTAACAATATAAAAACCTCTCTGGTGATGAATTCACCTTTTACTTTTTTCTTTTTAGTTTTTTGCCTTTATTCACAAGATTGAGTCTTCAGTCCCTTATCTTCCATATTCCTAAGGCCCGATAATAATAGCAAGATTTTCTCTCTATATAGCTAAGAATAGAAAGCAATATTATAGATACATAGTATTGGGTTCAAATTGCTACAATTTATATTCATCCCTGAGGAGTACTTTTCATTGGACGGCTGACAGGTGTGCTTCGCTTTGTCTCAAGGAGCACCGACCTGAGACACCGAAGCAAAAGGGTCGTTTGGGCACCGTGACGTGCACATACTGGCGAGGACCAGTCTTTCTGACTTGCAGTGGGAGGCGAACCTGAGCATCCCCTGTTGGAGTCCAATCTTGTAACCCTAGTTTGCCAGGGTCTTAAGCTCAGGGTTTCTTCTAAAGGAAGAGCAGGGCATTTATAAGGGGGAGACCCCCAAATCCCGGAATTTATTCATAAATAGTTGTGTGTTTATTCTTAGATGTTTAAACTTCAGTCACTGACAATGTAGTCTTTGTGTGATGTAGCATTCCTATTGAGATGCCTATTCCACTGCTCAAAACAGTTTTTGAACTCATCAACTTTCAGGTCTTTTCAAGTGCTTCTGCTATTTTTGTTTCACTTCTTCCACACTCGCAAAACCTTTCCTGTTGAGGACTTCTTTCATCAGGAAAACCAGAATCCTTGGGGTGAGGTCAGGTGAATAGGGAGGGCATGGTAGTCATGGTAGTCATATCGTTTTTGGTAAAAAACAAACAGCTGAACACTCAACTGAGTGTGGGCAGGTGTGCTGTCCTGGTGAAAGGATTCATCACGTGTTTGCCACAACTCAGGACAGTTCTTGGGACAGCCTCTCACAACGACGCTGGCTGGTGAGCGGATGCCGATGGGTTCTTGGAACACATACTAAGGAGGGAAGCCTTTATCACAAGGGGCCTGCCCTCCAAAAGGTGATTTCGGATTTTTGGGGTGTGCCCTCTTGTATGCCTTATTGAACTCAAAACAATTGCAAAATATTTGAAGGAGACAGAGTAACAGCTATGAAGATGGATTTATTTTAGAAGAGGCTATGCATGGGGAATCAGTGGGCTTTTTTATGCCAGGACTCACGGATTGGGAGTGCCCTGGAAGGCTGTGGCAGTCGTAATCTATGCTGGAGAAGGTAGAGGATTGTAAGTGGGTACAGGCGGCATTTCTCAGGGTGGAAGTGCAGGGGGCAGCTGGGCAATGTCCACTATGAATGTAGGAGGATAGAAGAGTCAGTGCCTGGTTTAGGGGAAGACCGTAGCTTTAGGTTTGCTGAGTGTAATGGTCATTTAAATGAGAGCTCTGTGGAGAGTGTTGGGGGCTGGAGATTATTAAGACTTCGGAATTAATTTGCTTGGAGGTGATAATTGTATCAACAAGATATTGAGAGTCAGTTTGGTTCAAGGCAGTTCAGTCTGTTGCCGGACATGTTAGGAGTTGTCAAAGTATGTCAGTTCATGCACCACCCTTTGAGTGATGTGTGCTGGGGTGCATGGGGCACACATAGCCAACTTGTGCTTTTGGTTTTTTTTTTTTTTTTTAAGTCTCGCTGTCGTCCTGGCTGGGGTGCAGTGGCATGCTCATGGCCACCGCAGCCTCGACCTGCTGGGCTCCGGCGATCCTTCCGCCTCAGGCTTCCAAGTACCTGGAAGTACAGGCATGCACCATCACATTTGGCTACGTTTTTGATTTATTGTAGAGAAAAGGCCTTGCCAAGTTCTCCAGGATGGTCATCGACCCCTGGTCTCAGGGAATCCTCTTATGGGCGTGAGCACCCAGCTGGAAACTTGGTTTATGAGATGTGACTGATAGCTATGTATTCATGAGAATCAAGATCATATTGGATCCAAAATAAATTTCTTTGATTTCTCACCTTATCCCTACATCTTCTTTCCAGTGGCTATGTGTATGTTGTTGATGGCATTGGATGTCATTTGCGATGTGGTGTGTAAGAAGGCTTTTGCTCCTAGTTTTAGGTTACCTCGTGAGAGTTTATTTGTTAAAAACATAAATATAATTAAAATGTGTTTTAAGGTTAATTTATCTCAACTCATTTGTTAAATAATCTAACCACACATTCACTGGATTCTTTCAGAATTCAGCTCATTGGCATGTCATATAATGGGAGGATAATCTCTCTATGACAGGCATGCTTCCAAATGTTTTCTTTAGTAGATAGTTCCTTAGGAGGTGTTCACAGCATTTTCCCATCTTACTATCCCATTTATCAGTGTGAACATGTAGGTTCTTACCTCTTTTCAGAAGAAATTGGGTTTATTATCACTTACTGAGTGTTTGAAAATGTGAAATATCATCCTCAATTACAGTGACTAAGTAGCTACCAAATGTGTAACTCTGTCCCACTCCTTTGTGTTTCAGTGCACTTGCAGGAAAGACATGGTGAAGATTTCAATGGATATATTTGTGAGGAAATTTCAGCCAGACAGATACCACCTTTGGAAACAAGGGAAGGATATATACACCATTGATCACACAAAGCCGACTCCAGAATCCACCCCTGAAGTCAAAGCATGGGTACAGAGGAGGAGGAAAGTAAAGAAAGGACCCAGGAGGTAATGATCCATGCCCCCATCCCGCCTGCACAATGAGTCCTGGAGCAAATGAGCGCTCAAAGGCTATTTGCTTTTTCTCCTGATTCAGCATAATTTTACGTAGGATCCTCCTGCACACTTGAGACGATGTACTGTTGATTCCTGAATACATAGTAAGTAGCATGGAGAAAGAAGTATATATTCACTTTGTTTGAGAATGTCCTGAATTGGCTACACCTCGTAAACAGTACTGCAGATGTTCTTAAACCCCTTACACTTATGCAGTTTATAGTTATATTGTTCCTCTCCGTCTCCATATATGAATCAACTGCAATAAGTTGCTTTCTAATTGCTGCATTTTCCTACCAATTTTCTTTCTGACTGTGGTAGCTATCTTCTTTATTTGTCAAACATTGTTTTTCTCATCTGGATGCTTATATTTTATCCTGTTTTATAAGGTGTAAAGCAGGACATGCCGTGTTTCAGTAACATGTTTGTTCTTGTGGTCTTTGTTTTCCACTCCATTTTTGTGGCCAGTTTCATCACAAACCCTGTAGATCTGTCGTGGGCATCTCATTGTTTCAACCCTTTGCACTCAGAGACATCTTGCAGATAACCTACCATACACTTTCCCACATTTTTACATGAAATGGTAAATAATGACTCACTTCATATTAAATAGTATAGTATTGGAACCAATTATTTTTTTCACAGTGATTTTTTTCACTTATAATCGAATTTTGGACATTGGTGATCTTACTTATGACAACAATTAAAATTTTTCCCCACCCACCCCTGCCTCCCAAATTAAAATTTTATGTTATATTTATTTAATGTGTGGTGATGTGTGAAGCCATCACCGACACACATTGGAGGTTCATTGATGCACATTGTGCAGTAGCAATTTGTTGGACGTCTTACACCTGGTGTTTTTCTATTTGAGTAGCAATGCATTCCTGTTTTCTTCCCACCACATTAATAATATGTAATTTATTGTCGAGTCTGTACACCACTGTGAAAGCACTTCACAGGTTATCTTTCCATTCCACATTTTTTTTCCTTTGGTTTTTTGTTTTGTTTGTTGTGTGTGTGTGTGTGTGTATGTGTATGTTTTGTGCAATTTGAATGGAAAACCTAAAGGAAACATATTTTTGAAAAATTTGTGCTGCCATAAGTTTCTTCTATATAATCATTTTATGTCCCCTGAGAGGGGACATCTGAGTGGTTTGCTAGGTTTACAGTGTCCCCTCAGAGGGGACATTCAAGTGCAAAGCGTTAAAACTCATGGAATAGGATCTATGTTGGTTTTTTCATGTCCTTATGTCATTTTAAAAAATTACTTACGCTACCTTTTAAGACCCTTATATTTCCCAATTTTATATTACATTTTCCTCTTCAATATTACTCATTGCTTTTCTTGCAGATTGTAAGGTTAATTTTTGTGGAGAAAATTTGTAAAATAAGAAGAAAATAATGAAGGAATCCCAAATCACCCATAACCTAACTATCCAGAGATAATCAGTGTTAACATTTTTCACATATATACCTTTCCAAAATTGGAAGAGTGCTCTCATTGGAGGATCCGTGAATTGACTGTTTTTCATGTAATTAAACGATTTGCTACAATGTAATTTTTAATGCCTGGATTTAACTAATCTCTTGTATTTGGTTGGACCTGTAACTTGTTTTCACTATTAACTAGATAACACTGAAATGTTAAATATTTGCCCACAGTAATGATGCTTATTTTCTTCCTCCGTTTTCCCTCTGACGTTTATTTTCTCCTATTTTAGATGGTAGAGAGTGGAGGGACCTTAGGAACACAGGGCCGGACTCCCACGTTTGGCGAGAGCTCGACCTGAGGCGCAGAACTAGCTAGCAGCCTGACTCAGCTCTAGTGTTCATATGTCACTGGTTAGTTTTTAGACAAAGTTAATAGGTGAGGAGTCACATTTACCATGAGGAGATGAAATGTAAAGTAGAATAAAACATCATGGTAGTGCTTCCCCTGTTGTAGCAGGAAGGATTATCTCATGGCCTGTGTTAGCATGTGTGCAATGGCTGGAATGACAGGCACGTGTACCACCATGCCCAACCATTTTAAATTTTTTTGTAGAGTCCTGGTCTCACTTGTGGCATCTTTTAAATATATGACTCACTGTGAGTTGCGTTCCGAAAACACTTGAGGTCTACTAATTTGGAGAGTCAGTGACTCTGATCAACGTTTTATTCCACGTTACCAGAGGCAGGATTTAATCCTCTGTTCAGAGGATGCTTTTACAGACAGAAATCATGGTCCTTAGAGTAGGTGTGTGACCTGGCTTCCTAGATGTTAACCACAGCAGACCTTTTGGTTTCACAGAGAACATGGCATTGAAAAGATTGGAAATGCTGATGTTGCTGACCTAGTTCCAAAGCCTAATGTTAAGCGGCTCTTTAAAATGCATCGACTTGTGACTTGATCTTAGAGACTACTCATCTACTCTAGAAATACCCTATTTTAGGACGTTGAACGAATGATTGACTGCAATCTCAGCTGTCTCCTTGTACGCGTCCTGTGAGGTTCATAATGTTTAGATTCCCCCAAATGCACCACTATACAGGTTTCCCATACAAGGAGCTAATCTATATGGGTCATCTCTGCGTCTCACATCTTTGCATCTTTGTATGTGTGTGTGTTTGTCTTTTGGACACTGTTTCTTTTTTTTGACTTACAGTTGCTCATATTGTTTGAAATGTTGTTTCATTTACATGAGGCATGTATGACAAAGCTTTCAAGAGGCTTGCTGGAAAATACTAAAAGAGGAAGTTTCTGTTCTCAGAATAATAGGCGGATATAAGATATTCAGTCCATAGAGTTAATCTTCCTCTTGTCTATTGACTATTTGGCATTTGCTCTGGACTGTTATCATGCAAGCCTGATAATTATGTAAAACTCAGAGGAAAGCCTGACATGGTGGCTCATGCCTGTTGTCCCAGCACTTTGGGAGGCAGAGGCCTTTGCCGAGCTTATGGGTTTGAGGCCATCCTGGTCAACATGATGAGACCTCATATCTCCAGTAAATCAAAGTGATTAGTGAGGTGTGGTGGCGTGCACCTGTAGTCCCAGCTACTTGGAAGGCTGAGGCAGAAGGATTACCTGAGCCCAGCAGGTGGAGTCTGTGGTGGCTATGAGTGTGCCACTGCACTCCAGCCTGGGCAACGAAGTGAGACTCCTACTTAAAAGAATAAAAAAATTATATAAAAATCAGGGAAAAGCCGTCACTAGTTCACCTTTGAACTGGAAATCATTTACTCAGATTTTAACAGGAGCTTTCCTTTTTTATTATCTAAAAAATATTTTATCGATTTCATTTTTCTCCCATGCAATTTTTCACTTTAGTTTCTTGTTCAGACTTTTAAAAATGCTTCTTAATGGCTCTTTTTACAATAATAGTTAATAATTGTTTACAGTTGTTTGAATTTCAGTTTTTAGTAAACTGATATTCAAATCATAATTGAGATTATGTTTTCCGATTTAACCTATCGATTATTGACTCAGCACAGCGATTACAAAAACCATGAATCTTTTTCTTCTTTAAACAGGAAAATAGCTCTTGTGTTGGTATGAGCCTTTCCATATTCTTTGCCTGCCTTCCGCTCTGACGACTGTTCTCTGGTTTACAGCTTCCAGTACCCCAGGCCTGATTCTAAAAAGCCAAAGGCTGAGGAAGAGGAGGGCATGCCAGCTGAAGGTGACGGGGCAACAGACGTCTCGCAGGTCAGTGAACAGCCAGCACAAGCGTCGGCGCCGGGGAACACAGAAGCCCCTTCAGAAGCAGGCCCCTCGCCAAGCCGGATGCTGGTGGGCCAGAATCTGCCAGATCCTACCAAACTCACAGGTGAGAGGGTGTGTGGTGAGGGGTCCCACTGAAGTCGCCAGTGGCTGGTGATCTGATGCCTTGAGTGCGTGTCCACTAGGACATGCATCTCACAAGTCCACTAAGGTGCCTGACGTTTTGGCGTAACGCGCCCTATGTCAGGAGCCACACTGCTGTGTGTAACCGAATCGGGAGACAAACAGCCTGCAGGGCATATTGGGTTTTACAAAAGAGAAGGTTCTGAAATGAACTTTTTTCAGTGCAACTCAGTTAACTGTATGCCGTACATTTTTGCAAAGCTCCTCTTGCGTTCACAGGGCGGAGAGAAAGCCAATTATTCTTAGCTTTCAGCTTAGTTTTTGAAGAACATAACGATGAGGGGTTCCAGAAGAAGCACAGAAATGGAAAGTGCGCCTGGTGACGTTTGTGTCTCGGCCCTTGGCGCTCCTCTCCCGCATCAAAGCCCTCCCTGGCAGGTCCCCTTTTCTCCTTCTTCTAAAACTGCGTTTATGGTCCCCCTCTTTCATATTTGGGACGTTTCTGTCCTTTTCACCGTCGAGATCCTTCCAGGAAGTCCCCGGAACGCGACTCCTGCCCATGATTCGTCCTCATGCGTGGCGACACGTCTCTTGCCTGCACCATCGTGGGCTTCGCTAGAAAGCCTGTCTTGCCAAGGGGAACTGCAGGCGGCTGCTAGTTAGCTCTCCCTATGGCCGCCACGCGATGCTTTAAAACAAAGGCAGCTGGGTGTCGCCACGGCCCTCTTCTTCTTCTTCCACTCGAGTAGAAGGAGTCCTCCTCGTATAGTCTCCTCCTCACTTCACGCTTGAAATGGCTACAGGAATAGAGCTGAAACCAGGGACTGTTTTCTATGAATTCACATGGTAGGGGAGAGATAGACGTGAAAGCATTCGTTCATGACCCGGTATGGCAGGAGAGATGTTTCATCGGGTGTGGCTGGTCCAGCAAGGAAGGGCCCCACACAGACAGGAAGTGGCCAGCTGGGGTTGCTTGGCATAGGTAACATCCGAATGACAGGACAGCAAGGTGGAGAAGGCAGGCACGAAAACTGCACCAAAGTTGAGAAGATAGTTCGGGAATTCTATGGATGCTTCCGTAGAGCTCCTCCCCACAATTTCTGCCATTTTAGCTTCAGTGACCCACTTCTTGGATTGCTGAGTGCTTTGGCTAATGGCACCCAGTTTCTCTAGTTCTGTCTTCATGCGGTTGTTTTTCCATTTTCAAGTCCATGTTTTGAGACTTGACCCTGAAGTAGAAGACCTGGCTTCTTCACCATCACAGCTAGTGTTTGATGGGCAGGCATTGTACGTCTGTGTGTGTGTGTGTGTGTGTGTGTGTGTTTAATGGGAAAGGAGAGCCGAAGTGGCCGTGGACGATAAGTCCTTTTTAATAAACCTTCTCCTTGTGTGACAGCTGTCCTTGTATGGCCTCGGGTCAGCATAGGAAATCCTTCTTGACTGGATTTGGGCTGCCTTAATGTGCCCTTTACATACCTCTGTAACGCTTCATCTGTAGCAGCTCTTAACATCATCTATGGGAACGCCATTCTTATTTTTGTTGCTAGGGCTCTGAACAGTTATAATTGTCCTGCATTTTGATGTTGGGCTGCAGTTTTACTCCCCTATCACCCCCTGTTTTGCCAGTAGGTGTATTCCTTCGCCAAATTTCAAGGTCGTCATTTAAAAACTGAGAGGCTGCATGGCGCTTTGGTGACCTTCCATACTAATGTCTGCAGAACATTCGTGGGGATGTTGGATCATATAAAATCAGTTGGCCGTAGTTTACAGGTTCTACTCGGTCATCACACAGTGCAAGATTTATTGACGGTCTTTGGTTTTATCATCAGGAAGCAGCTGCTTAAGTCCAACTAGGAAAGAAGACGTGGAAGCCGAGGATGACAAAGCCTGGGCATCCAGCGTACCTTCTAAATGCGGTGAGGCTGATGATTCCACCCCATTATCTGGCGGCTCCACGACGTTCAAGAAATCAGCCCCACCCAAGGCCTCGTGGCCAGAGTCACCTGAATCGGCCTCCTCAGTGGCAGAGAGCGGTGGCGTGTTAACTGAGGGCGAAGAGAGTGATACGGAGAGCCATGGAAGGGGCCTTGAGCCTGGGGACATCCCAGCCTTCCCTGCAGCGGAGAGAAATGGCTTCAAAACTCCCAGCGTATGTGGCAGTGTTCCTTTACTATATTCATTGTATGGTGAGAGTGCTTTTTGAAAACCATAAGCTGTAAACCACAATCTTGCTCTGGGGTTCAAAGAAGTCACATTTTACGTTTTCAGTTCTTAATTATGTTGCTTCAGTGACTGGGATGTAAGGCTTCTGTGTGCTGTAGCACAAATAGCGATGCTTTAGAGCATCTACCTTGTGGCCACCTGTTGAAGTTTAGTCCCAATTTTGTTTACATTGAACTCTTTATTTCGAGCTAATTGTTGGTTCATATGCAATTGTAGGAGTACAGAGAGGGATCTTGTGTGCCCTTTTCCCAATACTTACCGCTTGGAAAACCATATGACAAAGTCACAACCGTATTGACATGAACACAGGGAAGCCTCACCACTCTTCTACCGCCTGCAACAGTAAACAGGCTGGGGAGATTCCACCTCATGAGCTCTGATTTCCACCTGCCACCTATTAATACCTTTGTGTCCCTGACTTCCCTTGGCTTCTTATTTCAACATGTGGGCTCACTGGCCACACATTCGTCTCACTCCCCATGGACTCTACATCCCAGGACCTATGTGGCCTTTCTGGTCTTGCCCGCCAAAAAGTCAAGGGCCTCTCAATGATCAAGCTCCCCAGTGTGACTTTTTGGACAGGGCCTCCTTGTTTCTCGGATGTCCTTGTGCAGTGTGACTGTCACATCTTTTCAGCACACACCGTCCATGGGACCCTAAGATTGGCATTTGGTCAGTTAGGACTTTGTATAGCAATTGTCAGAATTCAGGAACTTTTGTGACCAAGCAGTATGGTTTGGGACTTCGACTGGATGAGGGAGGAGCAAAAGAGACAGTAATGGAACAGCAAATTCGAATGCCCTATTTCCCAGCAGTCTTAAAATGGCAAATAAAAATAATTAACTAATTTGGCCTAAAAAATGTTTGTTTTTTAGTGGGATTGTATATCCCATTCCACTGAAAAGACTTTTCAAAAATATGAAAGATAAAAAAATTGGGGGTGATTTTTTTAGAAAATGTGGTGAAGGCAGGTGGTAATAGCATTTGTGTTGAAGTGAACAAAATTTACAACTTGATTTCATATAGGGATGGAATGTAACCCAAAGAATGGGTATTCTTTGGAAAGTCTTGACTGGGAGATACGCCCATGTTGAGTATGTTTTTTGACTTTTATTTTGAGTATTTTTGGCTCTATTGACGAGACCAGGTCTCACCAGGTTGCCCAGTCTGGTCTTGAGCCCCTCGGCTTAGGAATCCTCCCGCCCATGCCTCCCAAAGTGCTGGGATTATAGGCGCAAGCCACCACATCTAGTCTATTGAGTGGCATGCTTCAACGAGAATGGCACTGAGAGTGACATTTCAGCTTCCTTGCTTTCAAGACAAGAGGTTCATGAGCCGCTGCTGCTTGACTGTCACCTGTGCCATTTCCCTGCTCCAAGCCTGACCACAGAGAAGGCAAATGCTGTGTTCGAGGACTGAGGGGCTTGGCTTTCCCCTCCTCAGTAGTATCTGTGGGGCATTCCTTTCTCCCACCATCAGACAACCCCTGGATGAAATACAGCCTCATTCAATTTTGGGGTAGTTCTGCCCAGTTTTTCATTGTGTTAAGTGTAATGTTATGTGTGCACTGGTAGTAGCTGGTATCAGTCAATTAACTCAACAAATATTATGTTATTTTTTAAACTCCGGCTCTGTCTGGAGCACACAAAGTTTGCTCTCACTTTATATGCTGTTTCTGCCTCCCCAATGTTCCACTCCAGGGGCACCATATCCGAAAAGCCTTCTCTGTACCCAATATGGAATCGCCCCCTTCTCATGGCTCTCTACTCATTTGTCCTGCTTTATTTACCTTCACTGCACATTTACTGAATCATTCTTGCTTATTGTGTATGTGCAACACTCCCCTCTCACGTCTTTTTTTTTTTTTTTTTGAGAGAGTGTCCCAGTGTCACCCAGACTGGAATGGAGCAGCACAATCATGGCTCACTGCAGTCTCCAACTTCTTGCTTCAAGTGGTCCTCTTCTTTCCTGAGCCTCTTGAGCAACTGGGACTGTCGGCATGCATCACCATGCCCAACTAGTTATTATAATTATTATTTTGGGCAGTGGCAGAGTGTCTTAGTCTTGTCCAGACTGGTCTTGAACTCCTGGCCGGAAGTGATCTTCCCATCTTAGCTGTTATAGGATTATAAGTGTGAGCCACGATGCCCAGCTGACTTTCCCTTTACCCCTCTTCAAGGCACATACCTCCAGAGTTGGGATATGGTTTAATTTTTCGGGCTGGAGCTCCAGTTTTTATAATAGTGTGTTGTATAGTAGGATGCCATTAAATATGATCCTGTTCTCAGCTGATTTTTAATTTCTCCTGTTAGCTCCTAGCTTTGGTAGATTAGAGAAATCTTATTTTGTCGTATTTTTCCTGTCCTTACGCATTCGATTTGAATGCTCTTACACCTTCTTGCAGAATGCTGTTTTGGAGCGTGTGGCCAGAGTAATCACTCCACGTCTGGCTAGTCCTTCTTCAGCTAGCAGGGAAGAAGACTACAAGTGCTCGCTTTCAGACTCAGCTGTTGATGCAAACTCATGCGTTTCAACTTTTCTCTGATACCCTGCCTTGCTTTTTTCTTTTTGTAAATGTATAGTATGGGCAAGAGTGCTTAAAGTTGGGTTCTAGCTGGTGTATGTGACATAGAAATGATTCTTTTCTGAATGGAAACATGTGTATTTCGATGTGGCAGCATCACCTTCCCTGTCAGGATAGAACATAAGAATACTTGCCTGTGTACATGGGGACAGCATAGAGGCGACCCAGAGCCTCAGTGCTAAATTTTCATGAGAGTGTAATCCTGCATTCAGATTGGTTTGAAGATCTTTCGAATCTTGCTACCTTCTGATTAAGCTACCCTGCACGACAGCAAGTATTTTAATATAAAGCAGAAGGAGAGTTGATTGACCTCTTGGCAAAATTACTAATAGAATTTTGATTCTTTATTTAAATTTCTTAAATGGCTAATTCCCCACAGTGTACATAAGTACAAGGTTTATTTGTGGTTAAGTTCCATGAATCATCATGACTGAAGTTTTCTTGTTTGTTTCCAGTAACGTGTGTTTCTCTTGCTTTTTTTTTTCGTCACCAGATGATAGAAGGAGAGACTCAGACCTCTAAGAGTTGGCGACATCCTCTCAGCAAACCCCCGGCAAGATCCCCCATGACTCTTGTGAAGCAGCAGGCACCCAGTGATGAAGGTGAGTGGGTTGTTCATGAGGTAGAAAATATAGAGCTCTTTTTAGAGATGGAGTCTCACTCTGTAGCTCAGGCTGGAATGCAGTGGCACTCTCACGGCCACTGCAGCTGTAACCTGCTGGGCTCAGGCGATCCTTCTGCCTTGGCCTTCCAAGCTGGAACCACAGGCACGTGCCACCACACCTAGAAGATTTTTTGATTTATTGTAGAGATGCGTTCTTGTCAAGTTGCCCAGGGTGGTCTCAAACCCGTGGGCTCAGGCAATTCTCTCGCCTTGACATCCCAACGTGCTGGGATGACAGGCTTGAGCCACCGCTCCTGGCCAAAATATAGAGTTCTGTTATAACAAATTGTTGTAAAAGAATTGCTCAATAGAAAATGTGGCAAATATACACTGATTAGGAGATCATAAGTGCTAAACAGTTCCTAGGCAAAGGGAATTTGCATTTCAGGAGTGAAGAGGTACTTTATATGATCTATCTAGCATTCCTGTTTTGTATCACGGGATAAAATTGGTCATTCTTGACATTCCTCTTGAGCTTCTCCAGAAGAACTTGAGACTGATTTCTCTAAAGATGTTAGATTTGAAAACTCACACACTGTGGGTTTCCTTGCATAGCCTTTATTTTTAACTTGAATCCTTTAAATTCACTTACCTGCTTTGAGTAAGAAACTCCATACCATACCTGTTCCATCTCCTGTTCCATCTTTCCCTTAACTAAATTGCTGATGTGGTTTTATGCAATACAGTTGCATTTACAACCACATACTATTCCAGGATGTAACTTTTTTTAAAAACCCATTTGTCCGTTTTACCCCTCTTTTTATTTTTTTCATTTTTTTGAGTTGGATTCTCACTCCTTTGTCCAGGCTGGAGTGCAGTGGCATGCTCACAACCACCACAGTCTCGACCTGCTGGCCTCTGGCAATTCTTCCGCCTCAGCCTTCCAAGTAGTGGGAACGACAGGTGCGCGCTAAAACGCCTGGCTGATTTATTGATTTATGGTGGAGAAGAGGTCTCGCAAAGTTGCCTAGGCTGGTCTTGAACCCACAGGTTCAGGCAGTTTACTCGGCTCAGCCTCTCAAAGTGCTGGGATTACCAGCTGAGCCACCAAGCACAGTCTTTTACCCCACTTTTTAAAAAAATGCCTCAAATTAAATAACAGGCAACTGACCAGTCAGTATCTTGTATCTCTCTGCATTTTGAGGGCTTTATCTTCTTTCTATATCTAAATGCCGAATTCAAGGAGGTTTTCTACAAAGAGCTCTCTTTTGAGACATTCTCCTGTTTACTGTGAGGATGGTGTCCAGGAAATAACATGATTGAGTTCAACCTTCCTGTTGAGTTTCAATAAATTTATCAGAATAAATGTATATATTTCACAGACTTTTTTCCTTTTCCTCACTGTTTTCTCTTGTAAGCAATATTTAGTTAGAAAAAAAGGATCATAAGTTCAGTGCGAATTGTTTCTATATAACCATTCCAAAGGTAGAATTCTGAGTGAAGTGATAGCAGTAATGAAACATTTGTGGTTATTTCCATATGTCATTACATTGAGTTCTTCCTTTGTCTATTTTACTATGCCCAGTACAAATCATTTTCCTCCTAGTGGCAAAGTAAAGGACAATTCTGAATCCAGTAATTAATGCGTAACATACATTACTCATGGATTTTAATTCCCTTCCCTGTCTCAGCCTATCTTCTGTGTACCTTCTGAAGGGAGTAGGCTTTCCCAAGGGTGTGCGAACACAGCAGGGAATGGCTTTCTCCTAGTCCTCATTTTCCCAGGAAGTTTGTCTTGATTTGGGCCATCATACCTCAGCTTCGAGCATGTCCTTGGAGAGCAGTTCTGATTTTAGTTTGTATAGCTTGCAAAATTTATAAATGGATTGGTTTAACAAACTTGTCTTAAGGGTTTGAGGTTAAATATCTTGCTGAAACATGGATGATTGTAGCTTTTGCAACATTCTCACTTTCCGATCTAATGTCTTAAGGGCTCCTGGTGTCCCCTGGGGATTTTTGAGAAGTGATCAGAAAAGTATGAGAAGTTTTGTGATGGACCAAGATTTTTAACATGCTTCTAAACTGGCAAAGGAGAGTATTCTGATAGCCTGGTGTAAATTCTTTTTGTCCTTGGGCAGCTGAATGTCACCTCGGCTGTTGGCCTCCGTGTCAGCGTTTCTTGTGCCATTGAACTTCAGTGAACATTGTCATTGCTAGAGCCTGGGTAGCCATGGCTTAGCATTCCCTGGAGGCAGGCAGTTCCAAAGCCAGCGTCCTGGGGGATTCGCTCCCCTCGCTGCTGGGCTCCTTTGACCCTTTTCCCTAAGGGCGCGTGGGCGTTTCTCCCTGAAACTGGACTCTGGCTTCCCACAGAATGATCCCAAAAGTAAACACTTGGCCAGGCTCTTTGGGCGCACCATACTGCTGTGAGACGAGTCACCTCTAAGTTGCTCTTCTTTCAGGACAGTGCCTTGGCTCTCTGATATTCTTCTGAATCTGGGTCAGTCATTCTGATTGGTGACACTTCCTGTGATGACAGCATCAGCAGGGTGTTCCTGACTCAGCTGTTCCTTTATCTGGGAGAAGATGTTCTGTGTTCAGCAGCGAAACGAGAGTCGGTGCTTGTCTAGTTGATGGGGATGCCCACAGAAGAGCCAGGCTTACAATGTAGCATTGTTGCATGAAATTAACATCTAATTTATTCCTTAGGTGGAAAAAAACCTTACATCTATACTACATGTTTATCATTTATAGTTTGAAAGAAAATACTAGACTGTCTCTGGTTTGTTTTTTCTAATAGAAATGTTTTTCAGTTCCTTTTCTTCTAAGGTTAGGCAGCTGGGCAAGGTGATTCTGAAACACAGATTGAGATTGCATTCATGTTCATGTTTAGTAATCTAATTGGACAGACGTTTGACTGAAACGTAGACTTCAGAAGCAAAGCTGCGTGGGTCATTTCATTTCGTAAAGCCTCCAGTGTATGAACCTATTCTCCTGCCGTGACACGTCGATCATATTGGAATGGTCCTGCTCTTTTTTTTCCAAGTTCAGTGTTTCGAGAGAATGAGAGTGTGAATGCAGTGCCTCTCTGTGGCCTTGGGACGCATCTCTGTGTCTCCCCACCTCTCTCTCTCTCTTTCTTTCTTGTCTTATTTTGTCTTTCTTTTCCCTCTCCCTCTCCCTCTGCTTCTCACTCCCTCACTCCCTCCTTCCTGTCAGTGAGAATGCCTGTTTCAAGCCTTTGTTGTTTCCCCTTAATATTTCTGCTTCGAGACTGCTTAAATGCTTAATTCCGTGGCATTGCATTGAGTCCAGACGTCATCCACTAGTGGCTTCTCTCTTTAGCTTCATTTCCTCCCCTTCCTACCTGCATCCTCCTTTTCATTTAGAAGCTTTTTCTTTCGTTCTTTCTGCATGTAGTCTGCTCCTTCTTCAGGCTACTGCATTACCTGTGATACCCTTTCCTTCCTGGATCTGTTCGCCAGCCCTTGTCCCTTTCTTCACCCCTTCTGCCACGTACTCCACAGGCGCTTGGCTTTCTTGTGACACTGCCCTTTTACCATGTGTCTGTGTCTGTCTGTGTGTTTCCCCTCCAGGTCCTTGGCAATGAACTTTTCGCTGCAGTCCTAGTGGCTTAAATCTGCTTTGGGTCCAAATGTGGGAATGCCCTAGATAAGGCGATCAGCCATTAAATGATAGTCAAATCCCTTAATGTATTATATGCTGTTGCATTGAAAGAAAAATGTTAATCCTTCCCCTGGAAATATTATTTTTTATTTAGCTGTAGAAATGTGAAGAAATTATATATTTAATATGTCACCTATTTCAGTTTTGTGTTTTGACAGAATTGGAATTTTTGTTACCACTGTGCCAAATTCTAGAACGAATTCGAAGTTAAAATACAGATGACACATTGCAGATACAGCCAGTGCCTTGGAGTTTGAAGATTCCCAGGGTGACAGCATCACACTGGGTCAGCAAATGACTCCTTCTTAAGGACTAGCTTGCTGTTGGCTTTGTTGAGGCTATGCTGGTCCCGTGAGTGATTTTTGGATTCCCCCTTCAAGAAAGGAATGACGTGTATATTGTTGGCTTCATCACATGAGATTCAGAATTTGATTAGGGAGAGGATTTTTCCCATTTTTTCCCCTTTTAATGCTGAGAAAGTCGTGTAGTTTGAGGAAGAAAGGAAGAAAGACTAAGATGAATTCACCGTGAGGAGAACGTCTTTTGCCCACCAGTCAACGTGCGTCTTCTTGTCGCTAGATGCTATATTTTAGTTGTCTTATAAGATCATTGTTTAACTCACAGAGGTGTGTTTATGGAGACCCACAAGCACATTCATACAAAATTCCCACACTCACATTAACTGTACGATATGGTGAAACGAAGAGAACCATTTACGTAGAGCTGAAAGCCCAAGTTGCTAGGCTTTTAATAGACCTAAATGTCTATTAAGAGGGAATTATTTAAATGACACATCATACATTGAGTTCCTGAAACACTGTGCAGCTATGATGAACGATTTCAAAGTACTGTATTTAACTCTTCAGGTGGATGTTCTTTTCTATATAAGATTAAGTGATTGCCTGGTGTGGTGGCTCACACCTGTAATCACAACACTCTAGTAGGCTGTGGTGGGAGGATTGCTTGAGCCAAAGAGTTGGAGACCAGTCTAGGCCACATGGTGAATGAGACCCTGACACCCCCCCCCAAAAGGAAGGAATTGTTTTAATGATGCATCAATTCAATGAACCATTGTACATCTATGAAGAATGCTTTCCATGTACCATATTATTTAAAAATTTATTTTCAGGATGTGGGGTACAATTCAGTATTTGGTATACTATTAGTCATCGTACAGGTCCTACCTTTGGTCCCAACTTTGCCTGATTTGAGATCAGGTACCCTTATTAATGTTATGTGCCCCTCCCCTGACAGTTTCAGGATACTGCCAATCCCTTTCTTATAGTATTATGGTAAATGTTCAAGCTCCGC